CACAATAATTGTCCAGACCATCAGACATAGTAAAATCAAATAAAACAATAAAACTAATCCAACCAGAACATTAAAACAAAACAATAAATCAGAACAAAACTAAACATTGAGAACAATATTGGATTTCAAAAACAAGACAAAGAACTCCCTCCCCCACCATATTTGCTATACTGCGTACTGTTATCCTCCTAATAGATGCTCAGACTACTGGCCTTAGGCCTGCAAAGTCAATAAAACAATATAAGCATTTGGTTATTTTTGTACCTCAGTAGTTATCAACTCAGCTGTCCTCAGAACCATGGTGGGGGAATGTTTCAGTTACTTTTTGTTTGTCCTGAGACAAAATGCCTGATGCCCAAAATTAGGGAAGGAAAGTATTATTTTTTACAGTTTTTGGAGGTTTCAGTTCATACTCAGTTGGCTCCATGGCAGGGTAGCATGGTGGGCTGCAGTTCACGGCAGCCACAGACAGCAAAGCACAACCCAGCAAGAGAGAGAGAGACACACACCTTCTTCCTGCCGGTAGCACTCACACCACCAATCCAAGAGCTAGACAACGAACCAATCACAAATGCATAATTGCATGGGGCTTGGGGGGCACTGACATAAACCATGACAGGGGTGTTTCTTGATTTTTCAGCCCCTGTGTTGGTCTGCTCTCAGAAGGGGTGAACTGGCTTATGTCTTCCTGGGCCCCACATGGTTTCCAGGGCTAAGGGAGGACAAATTGACTTCCTATTGTACTCCTCCCAGACCCAGAATGGCATCTCACTTCTGACAATCTTACATTTAATGATTCAAATGAGAGTAAAGATGGACAGATTCCTGTCCTGGTTTTCTATGTACTCTGGATACCAATATAATCGCAGTGCTTAGTTGACATCACCACCTCTTAGATATTTGGGAAAAATTTTTTCTGAATTGGAATGAAATCAAAGTTTTTCAAATATCATTTTCATGTCACCATGTGTTCTGATACTTCTTGGAATCTGGCATCTCACAGAACAGTCTCAGAGGTTGTCTGCATGTGTTCTCACCCATGTGATGTTCCATGGCATATTTTGTTGTTGAAAGGATTGACCAAAAAAGAAACACAGGACACTTAATACATTTCTCCTGTATCTGGCTCCCAGCTATGAGTGGAGAAGGTCAAAGGCAAAAAGAAAAATACAACATTGGATAAAATATCATTGTGATAAAATATCAATTTTCTATAGAAAAATGAAGATATTCAGGCTGAGCTGAGTTCAGCATCACAAAGAAGGTAAATTGAAAATCTGGAAAAGATTTTCAAGTCCTCATTTCTCTAGCAGAAGGGCTGGGGATTTAGCTCAGCAGCATAAGTGCCTGCCTTGCAAGCAGGCAGTCGTGAGTTCAATCCCTGGTACCGATAAAAATGAAAAAGACAAAAAAAAAAAAAAAAAAAATCCAAAAAAAAACTGTGTCCTCATTTCTCTAGCGGAATACCTTTATCCTGGTCCCGGGGATGAAAACTGGACAAACTAGGAGGGAAAAAAGAAATATGACTGAGAGAAGCTTAGGCTGGCAGAGAACATGAACTACAGGGGATGGGAGCGCCTTTCCCCCATCCGCACCAATGTGCTCCATCCTTCAGGTCCTTGTCTGATGAGCTCTCAGCTGTGCATGCTCATTGCCTCTGGCTGCTGGGCTGAATTTGTGCCACTTTCTTGAAGACTTATCTTTTGTCTAGTCTTAACCCAACCCTCATCATTGAAATTAACTTCAGGTCCTTATGTGTTCTAGGGCTGCCTGTCCTTACTCGGTGAACAAGATTTTTCTGGTGATATCTTAAGACAGACAAGATAATTCTCTTCCTCCTGAGATAACAGCTAAATATAGAGTTGATGAATTTATACTTTGCATTAGTGATAAAACATAATCGCAAATAGTTTAAATGAATGAAAGATGGTTGGACTGACTTCTAATTAGAATAGAATAATACAGCATGAGTCAGAGCCAAATCTGTCAGATCAAACTAATGAAATCCATATTCCAGTCCTTCCACTTAATAGCTCTGCAACGAGGCAAGGCATTGACTGTTCTGTGTCTTAGTTCCCCCATTTGTAAAATGGAAATAAAATTAATATCCATTTCATAGTATTTAATATAATATACATATAAAATGACCAGCACATAGTAAAAAAAATAAATGAATGCAAGCCATTATCAATTTTCTTGCTTTATTATTATTACACACTTAATATAAATCAATCATACTGAGAAAATTACTATTTCAATATGGGAATATATATTATACATAATTTTGGTGTCAGCTAAATTTTGTGTTCTGATGACATCTTGGAATTACTTCCTGAAAAGCCTGCATAGGTAAGTATCAGGAAGTCCCCAGGTTGTATCTAGTCAACAATAATGATGTGTTTTGCTGTGACCCAGAGTGACACAATCAAAGGAAGATGGTATTTAACAAGAATGATTTAAGGGAATAAAGGATTGACAAACAGAAATTGAACAAAATTCATCACAGAATGGTTCTACATTTTTCAACAAAATTATACCCGAAGTTGCTAAATGTGTGTGTGTGTGTTGGCCTTTTTTTGAGACAGGATTTCACTATATGGCTTAGGGTGGCCTCAAACTCCATGACAATCCTCCTGCCTCAGCCTCCTGAGTACTGGGATTACAGGCTTGCACCATTGCACCCAGCATGTGTGTGTGTGTGTGTGTGTGTGTGTGTTTAGGTTGAACACATTTTTGATACAAGTTGTAGTCTCATCTATTAAAGTTTATAATATATATATTATATACTAACAAATTACTTCCAAGGGATTATTAATTATTCTGATTTTTCTTTCTCTTTTGATCTTTCACTTATGTATCTATCTACCCACCTACCCATATTTGTTCTCCACAACCTTTTATGGAAACATCTAGACTGGATTTAGAGAGGTAGAGAGGAATAAGACATACATGCAATTCATAGCACAACATTTAATATTTTATCTCAATCACTGCTATTAGATTGAAAATGATGAAATATTGTATTATTTTCTGTAAATATTGGAAATAGCACAAAAACAAATTTTCTTTAGGTTAACAATTTTTAAGATTTACTTTTTTTTTGGTACCGAGAATTGAACTCATGCCCTCATGCTTGCCAGGCGGGTTCTATGCTGCTAAGCTATATTCCTGGACTGAGATATACTTTTTAAAATTCTAGGGGCTGGGGATTTAGCTCAGTTGCATAAGTGCCTGCCTTGCAAGCAGGTGGTTGTGAGTTTGATCCCCGGTACTGATTTAAAAAAAAAAGTCTTTTAGTTCTCCATCTTTTTGGTACAATTTTCTATTAAAATTCTGCTGTGCAAATAGGAACCTACTTTTTAGGGCCAGAAGACTCTGGCTTCAGATCAGGGGTGTGATTCTGATGTTTTGAGAAATCTCTATGAACTTCAGTTTTGTCACCTGTGAATCCGTGGTAATAACTACTGCCCAGATGTGGGAAGCCTCAAAGTGGATGAGTAAAGGACTCTGGCACATAGCAAGTCCTGCTCTGAGCTGGGAGTTCCCGTGCAGGTGATCTCATGTAACTGACGCTGCAGCATGATGGAGCAGGTCTTATTGTTGACAATTTGCTAATTAGGAACCAGAAGTTCAAACAGGAAGAGTAGCACAGTGACAGCTAAGGGTGCAGAAAGCCTTGCGGACTGCACTCCAAAGCTACTGTCGGGTTTGTTACCAGATGGCCTGGTTAAGAATACGAGAACCTTAGGTGGAATATGCAAATGTCACTCATATTGTTTGTGTATCATTAGTTGGTCAATTTCCTGTCATTGTTCAAGACATTTCAAAGACATACGTATTAATGTGCTGGAGATGGAAATGTGTGGATAGCTTTCTTGCAATCAGTAATTGTGATATGAGACAATTTGTTTCTTCTCCCTGTAAAATGGGCCTGACTTATATCAGGATTACAAAGAATAAATAATACATCAAAATGATTCATATTTAGTAAATAGATAACAAGAAATATCTGTTCTTATAATAATTACAAATAAGTCGCTACTCTGGAATTATATATTTATAGGGTCAGAAATTCCTACAACCTTAAGTTTCCATGTATTTTATAGATGTCTCTGCTGTTTTTCCCCTTGCATCTGCTAAATGTTATTCACTATATGCCAGGTGATTGGAAAAGGGAAGTACAGTCAAGAAGAGGATGTTATAAATTTACCTTTAAATCTCATTAATAAGCAGATGTAGTAGCTTATGCCCATAACCTCAGCACTCCGAAGGCTGACGTTCAAGGCTGCCCTGGACTTTTGAAACAGACTTCGTTTCAAAACAAATCAAAACAAAGCAAACCAAACCAAACCAAAACAATGATATGCACATATTTCAATCCATTGACCATAGAGAGAAACTTACAGTATGACTATCTCGGTGGATGTTTTACTCAGATTTTGAATTAAAGAACAGAGTTTTTTTCCCCTCTCAAAACTTGTCAAAAAAAAAAGAATAATCAAGAATAGCTGGTTAGTTAATTTCAAGTTTTGGCTTCCTTGTCCGATTGAAATTCTAGCTCTTCTTCTCATTAGCTTATGAAGTAAGGCTGATTACTTTTTCATCTATAAAGTATAATTAATTAATTAATTAATGTATATGTGGCAGACAATAGGCAGTATGAACTGATTGAAAATTAAGAATCAGGTAATATTTTACTGATTAATGAATAGTTTAGTAATTAGTAACCAGAGTTTTAGAAGGCATTAGATGTAGTCACCCAAAAGTCACTACACTAAAAACAACATGTATCCCAGAGAAAAGCCCACAGAGCCCATGGGGAGCAGGGTGTATGATCACGCAGACGAGGTGAACTGAGTGCAGACGTGGCTTCCACACCGTGTTTCTTGTAGAGAAACAGGAACGGTGAGGTTACTAGAGAACACATTTGTGAGTGAGGGTCAGTGGGACATAGGTGCCCTGGTAGTTTTTAGGCATTTGCTTTTCCTCAAACCTTTTACCAGACTGTGAGTGTGACCTGCCATCTTCCGCAGGTGCCTCTCTTCTGGAGTCATGTTCTATAGGTTTGGCTCCAGGGAACTGTGGTCACCCAGTACTACCCCCCTGTCTCCTTTAGGTACACAGCACCAGACACCAGCTTCGCTCCTAATTTTCCCTAAGCTGCAAACATTTCCATAAGTACACAGTGTTTATTAGAAAAGAGTGTTTTTGTTGCCTATCATTATTAGTATATTTTTAAAAATACTTGGGGAATATGAAATATGAGCAGTTTGAGGTCTTGTTTTTTTTTAAAAAAACCATTATTTCCATAAACTCGGGGTATAAATTTTCAAATACTATGAGTTTGAATAAATAAGCCAAATATTGGTGCTAGATATTTCATTCATCTGTTCAGTAAATATTTATGCAATACGGATTCTATGAGAAGCACTTAAGAACCTTTCTGAGTCTCTGTGACCACCTGAAGTTACTGTGTACCCTCTGATGCAACCGGCATTGGATGAGTGTGAAGGTCCAGAGATGTTAACTTAGTGACCGTGTTGTTTCCAGGACTCATCTCTGAAATCCCCTGGCTAGTGTTTCTGCCACCGAGAGAGGCAAGACAGGACTTTAAGAAATTGAAGAGTCAGGCATGAGAGCTGTCATTCTGGCCTCTGAAAGCTCTGTAGACCCAGAGAAGCACCTCAGCTTCCATCTTCTACTGTTAATTGCACCCGTTCTACTAAATTCACAAGGCTACTTAATGCTTAAATGAAAGGAAATGGTTTAAAATGTTTATAAAATTAGTATAAATAGTATAAATGTAAACAATGGAGAATATCATTGTGGTTGTTCAAAATCACTACTTTATTATGCATAAAGTTATGCCAAAAATCTTATTGTTTCCTCTTCTTTGCATTTGAGAAATCATTTGTGGAAAGAAATCCAAATAATTGGTGCTCTCTTTTTCTTCAGTATTTAACAGGAAAAATTTAGATTTTTTTCTCCAGTTTTGATCTCCTGTGCCCCATTCTCCCTTCAAGAAGTCTAGGGTCTTCTACAATGGAGGCAGGTACAGCTATTGACTTTCTAATCTGAATTAAAGCACAAGGACTGTCCAGGAAGTACTAGAAGAGAGAGCTACAGGAAAGGGAATATGGAACATAGATTTGGCAAAAGGGATGCTTGTTCTAGTACAGAGGACAACTTCCCTGCTTCAAAATCAATCAAGATACCAGACAATGTCAGTAACTTCTAAAACCCCAACTATTAATTATTGAATTTAGCAACATGAATAAAGCTGATGAGTTTTTATACAGAATAAATTGATTTTAAGCAGAGGTTAATTACTCCAGGTTACTATAAAAGTTCCAGAAATGCCACAAGCTGATTGAATCCACTAAGGATACCACACCAACCGACTCTGACACGAGGCATCTAGCCACTACCAGTAAGCAAAAGAGACCCAGACAAACAAGGATTCACTTACCGATACATCATCGACCAGAGGAGTGTGATCTTGTAGGTCTGCACCCACTGATCTCGACCTTCCTATCACCCTTAGAATATCTCTAGCTATATTAGGGAATCACCACTGCAAGAAATACGGAAACAAATTACAAGTAGTTGAAATGAAACTAGTTTGACAAGTCTGAACAGAGACACCTCAGCCTATAGAACAACATGAAGGAAATGTAGTCCCAACAAGAAATAGGATTTAGCTTTTTTGTTTTTTGCACTGACTATTTTTTTTAGGAAGAAGGAGTTAACTGTGAAGATCTGAGTGACAAGCATTTTTGGAACGCATTGTGATTAAGAGTTTAAAGGAGATTATGACTACACATACAAATATCTTAACAAAAGCCACATAAAAGCTCTCAATAAAAATAATCAAACATTCTTAAAAGCTGCGTTCATACTATAACTTGGGAAATAATCCTTAAATTCTTGTTAAGCAAGAAAATGAGTGAGAATCTCCATGTCTCACAGGGGCATGGTGAACTTAATAATATTCATAATTTATTTTAAAAACATCATCCAAGTATGGAGAAATGAATATCAAGCTAGATGTTCCCAAAGTGAATTACTATAAGCATGTATAGAGAAGCACTTATCAGAATTCAAAAAACCCCAAAAGTGAAGAAATATTTTTAAGGTATATGTGCTCTTCACAAATATTAAAAGCCTTAGAGATGAGACTGAAGCCTTGTTAGATGATGTCCTCATCATGATTTCTTTCATTGTCCACAAGTAACTGTGTTATTTGGGACTCTCTTTTCTCAAATATTCTAGAACATTCTACGCATCTATACACATGCACACACATACCTCTAGAAAAGTTATCTCAAGTTAAAAGCATCTTATTAAATGTAGCATAGACATTCTATACAATGTGGTTTTATTCACTTAATATTTTGAAGAACTTGCTGTTTTGGAAAACTTATTTATTCTGTTTAACTACTTGAACTAAAAAATATGATGTTTATCCTTAATATACTCTTATAACCAAACAGTACTGTTTAAAGAAATAAAAGTACTCTAGACGAAGGTTTCTGGCAGCTAGAAAAGTACAGTTGAAATAATCTTAATAAGGGCTTTCAAGCATCAGTGTGGCAAGATTCAAATTTGAAAATGAGGAATAATAGTAGTAATTTGTAACATATTGGTACAGTGAAAATGGGTTAAGATTTATAAAGTGTTTAGAATAGTACATGTTCAATGAATAGACACTTTTCAAAAGAAAGTACAAATGACCAACTAATACATGAAAAATAATGTTTAACATCTTTGACCACTAAAGAAATGCAAATTAAAACAATACTAAGATTCCATCTCATTTCTGAAAGAAGAGGCATTATTAAGAAATCAAATAATGAGCTGGACAGGCCAAGAGTATGAAGGAACCCTACACTGTCAAAGTGAATGTAAAGTAATATAACCATTATGGGGTTCAGTATGGAGATTTTTCAAAAAATTAAAACTAGAAATTCCATTTGACCAAGCTACTCCCCTATAGGTATCTTCTTGAAAGGGTTAAAGATTCATGTGACAGTGATACATGCATATCCATGTTTTTAGAAGCATAATTTTTAATAATTAAGACTTCTTACAGGTCTATATGTCCACCAACGGATGACTGGAGAGAGAAAATAAGATATTTATACACAATGGAATACTACTCTGCCATAAAGAAAGATAAATTAGTCATTTGTAGAGAAATAGATACATTTTTAGACCATAATGTTAAGTGAAATACTTCAGACACACAAACTTAATAATTGCATACTTTCTCTTATATAAGAAATACAAAATGTAAAGGACTAAAAAGATAAAAAGTAAATACTGGGAAATAAGGAGATCTTTTGCAAAAGGAAAGAGAACCAAGAGGTGGAGGAAGAGTGGAGGGGAGTGAAAGGTGATAAAAAAGAATCGCAATGTGTTATCTACTCGTACCAATTACCCTCCAGGAATGCAATCACTATGTACTGCAAAAATGTATATATAACAGTTAGAAAAGAATAGTGCTCCATGTAATGGAAGCAGCCCATAGATGCTGGCTAATTACTTTTTGGGTTTAATTCATCTGCAGATGTTTAAAAGAGAAAACGTATCTCTATTGCCATGTCTCTTAGCTTCCTGGGTCTTTGATAATAGGATGGTGGAAGGTTAAGTGGTTAATTCATATTCTGGAATTGACTAGCAGCTCTTGGAGGCGTGGCCAGCAGTCTTTTGTCATTTGAATCACCATTCTCATCACCTTTTATATTACACAGTGTTGTAGCTAATCTCTCCGATGTTCTGGGAATAAATATGTTAACTATTATGGTTGTCAACAGTCACCTTTTAGTACTCATTAAATAAGTTATTCCTTCAATTTATCCATCTAATTCAATAGATCTCAGTAATTCATGCATCCATATGCTATTATTTATGACTAAACTTGTACTTATAATTGAAATTTATTGTGAAAGTATCCTTTTAAAAATTGTCGACGTACCTCAAATACACTAAGCTACTGTCTAAATTAATGTGATATGATGAAACATATTATAGCACATAAAGGTTATTTAACGAGACACTAGCTATATAATTCTTTAAGGGAGACATATTTCTATGTTTGAGCTTTTATTCAACTATTGTCCTCTTTTGCAGGAGAAAATTCCAAAATTGATATAAGGAATAACTATTTGAAAATGAAATGGTGACAGACTTCAGGTAACTTTGTGGTCCATATATGCAGTAGCTCAGACTCTATCATCTATGTTTCAGAGACCCAATGTTTTAAGCATCACAGCCCAGTAATTCATTAGACAGAGTTGTTTCTCTGTTTCTATGGATGTTCCTATAATGTACTTAAAGGTCAGGCCAATTTTTACAATGTAGAATCATCAAACCAACAAAATCATTTCCATAGGTATGTCATACATTTGGTTTTTTTTGTTTTCAGTTGTACATTTTTGATGGTAAGAAAACTTCAGATGAATCCAGATTTCTGTGCTGTGTATCTATTCCCTTATACAAATAAGCAGGGTTGGCGAAAGGCAAACGAACTACTCCGATTTCCATTCCTGACTGATACTAAGTGGGCCCACGCCACAGGCAGTCACTCTGTATTCCTCGGCTGTGCACTCTCCACCTTTCTGGGCAACAGGGTCTCCCGTTTCAGCTTTCTTTCCTCCCCTCCATCTCCTCCATCCTACTCCTGTCTGGTGGGCTGGCTTCCTACAGCACTGAATTAACGTGTGGCTGCCTTACTGAAGCACCACAAATTGTGGATTAAAATAAGAAATGTATCATTTTACAGTTTTGAAGACCAAATTGGCAGGCGTGTGCTGCCCTGGAGAAACCATCTCTTGCTGCTCTGCCTGCTCTGGTGGCTCCAGAAATTCCTCGGGTTGCGCCCACCAAGTCTGCTCTTTGCCTCACCTTCCCATTGCTGTCCTCTCCGATCCTTCAGTATTCTTTCCTTTTGTCTCCTTTTAATGTCTTTGTTGTGATGAAATACACATAACATAAAATTTACCATTTTAAGTACCTTTAAAAGTATAGTTTTCTGATGTCAAGTACATTTATA